TAAACTGTTTCGATGTTCGAATTAACAAATGAAGTCATCTTTGGTTAAATAAGTCTGAAAACTACGGTGAGGTGTAGGCTCCTCATCTGTCCACTGGGGTGGATGAACTGAGAAGAGACATTGGTGTATTCAGAGCTGAGGCTGGGGTCTTCAGCTGTACGTTATTAAATAGTTCCTGTCAAAACAGAACTGATCTGACTCTCAGTCTGTCTCCTGTCAGCAAAGATGGATCAGTATACGTTGTTGTATGAGTGAAAGTATTTGAACCAAGTAGCTGTTTCAGTATCATCACTCATATGTAAGAATTTCCGATATTACCTTTTTGCCGATACACCGATGTTGTCCAAACACTTAATTTCCAATTCCGATATCAACTGATACCAATATAGTAGGGCTGGTGGATAAAACCAAGGCATTGCGTTATCAGGTGTTCATTATCGGAAAAAACGATATTGATGCTTGCAGATGTAAGATCTTAATTATGCTAAAATTATATTGGCCCGATATTAGGGATAACGAACATCCCTACTCATGGGATTTACAATAAAGACTTTCTTTGCAAAAGACGTAAAGAACTTATCTCAGCACTCGGCCGAGGCCCAGCTTCAGTTCCCTCAGCATTGTTGCATTAGTTTAACGTTAGCCGTGCAGATCGATGACTCCCTGGTCGTATTTTTCTGTCTGATCGGATCAATCCGATAAAACCTTTGAAATACAGCCGAGCGTTTAGCCGCACCAGCGTGAAGGTGCTTTAGGACTCAAGCCCAATCACTTCTACTGCTTCAATACAACAATGCGTTTATGTCCCAGCTGCAGTACCTGCAGGGTGACAGCTTGCTGCTGCTCATGTGTGAAAGGACGGCTACGCTGTTCACTGTGAAATTTACCGCCACTTCACCCTGTCCAGGGATTTGCCGGACAATCGTCTCCCCGCCTATCTCCTGTCTTCTGTGTGTGTGTGTGTGTGCGTGCGTGTGGGGATTTGTTATTATCTATGTGTGTGCGTGGGTCCATAAATAACAGAGGTGCAGGTCATTGTGATCAGTTGTGAGAGGAGCCACATGGCAACAACTGAAACCAAGCGTTTGACTATGTTACAGAATAAAAAGTACTGCACTACTACTACTGCTGGCTGTGCTGCAATAAATCAGTCAGGATTATGATGATACTCACAACAGACAAGTTTGGGGGTTATCTGCATTCTTTCCTGCCATCATGCCTTTGTGTGTTAGATTTCACAGTTTGGTTATTTAGTTATTAGTTGGACCACTATGGACAGTCCTTTGGTTGAGACCAGTACTTCTCAAATAGTGGGACGGGCGCAGTGAGGTGCCAGGGGGTGCGTGAAGGGCTACCAATGGAATATGGCACGCTGGACATAAGCGTACCACTGCTGTAATGCTTAAATGATAACATGGGTCCAGTCACTAGGTGGCAGCAACACATACAGCGGTTTGTACATAAATATACGTTATCAGGTTCTCAATAGTATTTCTATTTGCGGGGTTGAGGGTCCGAGGGGGGAGGGGGTGTGAAAACATTTCTGTCTCCAAGGGGGGGGCATGACAGAAAATAATTGAGAACCACTGGTTTAGACCAAGGGTGTCCAACATACGGCCCACGGACCAAAACAGGATCGCTACGGGGTTCTATACGGCCCGCTTGATGAATTTTGAAAGTGACAAAAATGCATAAACACTTCATGTCAGAGATGTTTTGTCAAGTGGTATTTCAGTCAATATCAGTGTTTTTAATATACTTGGTCTTATACAGGTAATTATTCTATGATTGTACTGGTTTGGCCCACTTGACATCTAATCAGGTTGCTCGTGACCCCTGAACCATAATCAGTTTGACATCCTTGGTTATGACCTAGCATGAGACAATCTTTTTCACGTTTAAATCCCTCTCCTATATGACCTAGCATGAGACAATCTTTTTCCTGTTTCCTTTCAAGAGAACATATCATTCTGCGATAATACTAATGACTATTTTAAATCCCTCTCCTCCGTGTTGTTACAGATCACAACCCACCTTGTGGTTCCTCAAGTGTTTACGTCATATCACTGACCTGTAGACCTGCAGGAGTGACAGTAGGGGGCAGACTCTAGCATAGGTGGAAGTGGTAGAATGAGTGATGCTGCTCAGGGCAGGGCCAGGGACTGTTCTAACTGCTTTAATTCTTCATCAACATCTGTCTCACTTGAGTTCATTCAAGTTTCTAACCACTTACTCCCCAGTACCAAAGTCAATGGAGAAAATCATTGATTTAACGAAGACACCAAACAGAAGGTGTTAATACATTGTTGCCTTCATTGAACTTCAATTATGTCACTCTGGAACTTTGGTGTTTAAAGTTCATTCCTCAAATTTACCTCAGTTCAACAAAGAGCACAAGCAAGGTTTTTCCACTAAAATAAGTCAGGTAAAAATGCTGGTTTCCTCTATGGACTTTGGTGCAGAAACAAACTCTAGAAATGATCATA